CAGAATGAGATCCAAGAGATTTTTGGAAATTCAAAACTTAAGGGAAAATAAAAAGGAATATGATCTGAATACAAAGGAAAATGGGATTATGATTCCGACATGAAAAATCACGTGGGTGGTGTCTAAGAAAATAAAGTGGAAAAAATCGCATCATGAGTCCTCTAGGTTGGTAAAAACTTGGCCTTGTCTCCTAGTTTCCATTAGTTTTTGTTTATGGCCCAATAGTGCAAATTAATTCGGCTCATTCTTTAATTTTAGCGATTAATTATTAAAGTAACCCCACAAGTATTCAATTATACAAATTGGGTTTCCAAATTATTATTTAAATTCTAATAAGCTATCTTTATGGCGAGGGAAATTATTTGGATACGAGTTGGTAATTTCGATGGCCTGGATCGTGAGAAAAATTATTGGAAGTTGATTTCAATATCGAGGGCATTCGAATGGAGCATAAATGGTCGAACGATATGGCACGAAAATCGAGATAATATTTTACTACCTCTTTATGTTTTATATAACATGTTGAAAAATAGGAAAAATGTATGGATGTATATGATTGGAGAGTTATGCCTGTTTGATTATGGATGGACTCAAACCGAATACGGTTTAAGCGATAAATTATGAGAATACTTCGGTTAAGTAAAATTACGAAAATACCCTTATGTGGTAAAAAGACAAGAATTGACTCTAGGAGTTGAATAATAAAACTTTGGGCTTATCTATATAGTTAGGTAATTCTTATATTCGGTCCGAGTGTGGTAAAAAGTCAGAAATTGAATGTAATTATGATGGTTCGTATAAGAAATTAGAAGTGGTTAAGGAATAATTTAAAGTTCAGAATTTATTTGGAAAAACATTTAACTTTGGGATCTCTAAATTCTATTTATCCTTATTAAGAGTTTTAATACCGAAGTTACCTGGTTGAGGAATTACGGAAATGCCCTTGAGAGGTAAAAATAGTTCGAGCTGACTGTGAATGAGAAAGAACCCTAAGAATTCGTACATTAAATTGATAAATTACTGATTTAGTTGTTGAGATCCTATTTTTGTATGGAAAATTTCTGATAACTTGTTAGTAACATCTTAGAGTGCATTTTAACCTGTAAATCTCCGAGTTGAGTATGTACATGAAGAATATTATATAGATGGTGCTCTTTTGTCAGAATTGTCTAGAAGGAATGAAGTAAATGATAAGTTTGAATTTAATAGTAAGATCGGATAGAAGAAAAGGATTGAAATACACTGAATCTGTAAAATAAATGGTTATCCTCAAGCTTCGAAATGAATGGAAAAACATAGAGCACCAAAATGACCAAAATACCCTTATAGACTAGATTAAGTAGATGTTTTGGATTAATTAAGGAAACTAAGTAAATATGGGTGTTGTGCTACCATTAAAGGTTATGGAATAACTTAAGTGAGCCGATCAACCCTAATGATATGTCAGTACCTGAACGATATAGATATTACTTGAATTTGTGTTTGACTTATCAAGTTTGGCTCGATGATAATTTTAGAAGTATTCAGCTCAGTTTAACTCTAGATCGCATTTAGTACTAAGAATTTGATATTTGTACGACAAATCAACCATGAATACCAAATTGAACTGAACTGAAGTACAATATGTATCAATAATTTAGGAAAACGTCCGAATTACCCTGGATAACTCCGAAGGAACTAGAATTGACTTGACTATTAATTGGACTAAGTAACCTCAATGATTGAGGATTAAGTAAGTGATTTGGATAAGTCTGGAAACTCTGATGAGTTTACATAGTGTACTATTCCTATGGACATGAACCACAAGTCAAGTGCATTGACCTTTCCTAATATTGTTGAAATATGGAAATGAAATAACGATCGTAGAATATCTGTTCGTTCCCTTAAGTTTTATTCAGTGATGATTCTGAAGATAATCTTTGGATAATAAATTTTGTATTAAAGAGTGAGTACTTTTGAAAGGCAAGGATTTGACCAGTCAACTGGTATCAGTTCTGGAGTTGTTTGATAATCTGATCGATCAATATAAATGGTAAATGCCCTGAATCTTTGTTTCTCCTTTATCAGCTCAAATCACTCCGATCATGTCTGATTCACACAAGTAACTCGGATGCAAAGGATTCTGTATATTCCAACTTTGTTGAGTAATGAAATTACTCTCCATAAATATGAATCTATAACTCATCTATATAAATGTTTATGAACACCTTCCTGATACACTTGAATCATAGTGGAATTCTAAAGTATCGATTTTAATGTCTGATTTGAACGAATAGTAATTGACTCCTTTTTAATAGGATCTCGTTCCTGGGATCTGATAAAAAGACATCAGTTTCATGTTATCTATGTTGATAACTGTCAAATGCCTCTGATAAGTACTGGGATTTCTCTAGTGTGTTCCTTATTTTTTTTAATAAATTATTTTGTTGTTTTAACATGAGGTACACTGAAATCTATGGTTACTATTTTATCTTGGATATACAGATTTGTATAGTACAACTCTGATCAACCTGGAAAATTTTTTATGGACCTAATGTGACTCTTAGGTAGGCTCTGTGGCCCTGAGATCATTCTCGGGTAGGCCCTGCGGCCCTAAGATGTGTTCTTAGATAGGCCCCGTGGCCCGAACTTTCTTGGGTAGGCTCTCAGGCCCTAAGATGTTCCCTTAGGTTAACTCTTTGTACGATGATTTTAAAATATGAGTTTAAAAAGCTCTACTACAATATGGTTTATGGATTTATTGAATTATCATTTGATTAGTGTACGTATTATGATTTTATTGTACTGATGGAACACACTAGACATCCTATTTGATCTCCTAAAAACGTGATACTATGAAATATTTCCTATGAAATGAGATATTCATGGATTCTATTCGTTGAGCTACTAGTGGAACTCCAGATTATTCTAAAAACTGGTATACATTTGATTAAATAAGAAATGATATGGCTTTTCATTTATCGGCATGTCTTGCAGCATCATCTGGTAGTTCTGTATTGCTGAGCTTTTCGAAGCTCACTCTATTACTCACCATTGCAGGTTAAAAGAATTGTGCCAGTACAACTATCAACATCAGTAAGGGAGTTCTTCCGGCGTTGCTTTCGGAGGATGGTACATGTGATTAGGGGGCATGTAATTGTATTTTTGCTTTATATATGAGTCTGAAAACTTGTTTTATTTCTGAACACTGATAAGTCATTTTATGATTTTACATGTTTTAAGAAAAGTTTTAAATTTTCCGCTATTTTTACAGTGGGTCGCTCTGGTGGCCCTAATGTGACTCTCCAGATCGGATCGGGCTATCTGCATCGGTCTGAAGGGGGTTACATCTCAAATTGACTTTTGGTGCCTAAAGAATTTTTCGCTAAAAATATGTGTCTAACATTTTCAACGTAACATTTTTAGATGTCTGAAATATAACGGTTGTTAAATTTGACCGTTATCTAACATGTATCCCTCATTATTTAAGAATTTAACAATTTAGAAAATTATAGTGAAATAATTTAAGAAATTAAGAGAAATATCATTGCAATAATTTGATAATTAGGAATAAAAAAATTAATATAAAATAAAATAAAAAATATAAGAAAATTAGGTACCAGATCAACAAGTATCTAGTTATGCCTAACTGAGAAACCTGCCAAAAATAATGGGCCGAGTACCCGACCTGGAAATTCAGGTAGTTCATTATAAATACTCAATAACTTTAGATCAATAAATCAAGTCAGTGAGCCAACAGACCAGATCAAGCGGGTTGGTATTTTTGAACACCCATAATTATATACTAAAAAACCATTTAATTCTTAACTTTACATTCAAAAAATAAATTTTAGATAACTAATAATAATAATTTTGTATAAAAATTAATTAACGAATAATTTTTACATATTAAAAGTGTTTAATAATATTTAGTATGTATATTTACGTACGACAGATTAGGATAAAATTCATGAACTGAGAAGATTAAAAAAAAAGTGCAGGTACTAATAGAAAGACTTCATATATCTGACTAAATACCTAAATCCAAGTTGCATTATGAAGTTCAATACTGCACAATACATGTATTACTAAAACTGAGCAAACATTATATGCAAATGTATAATTACAAACCGATCATGTTTCCTAGTAGGCTATAGTAGCAAAGCATATTGACTGCGTTTTTAAACTATAACATAACTAATCGCCGGCACGTAACGATGATGTGATCGACTACCTTGACTATGTCCGGCAGAGAGCTCGGGAGACAGTTTACTCAGCTCCGAGGAACTGCTGCTGGGAGAACAATGGAAGATGCTAACATCCAGCATAATTGGTTTACTTCCTATATTTGCAGGCTCAAATACACATACATCATGTTCTTCTAATTCGTTGTCGTTCAAAAACTTCCTCCATCTGCACAAAAGCCCTCCGCGTTCACGACTTCTGTGAAAATAATAATAAAATGGGGTCTTCCATGTGCGCTCATTCATTCGAAGGATCACATCTGCTTTTGTTCTCGAGAGATATTTAACCACCCATGCAGTAGGGATAGACTGCACAGACCCGAAAACATGGCCGAGCTTTAAATCATCGTCTAACTTGATTGGACAAACAATGCATACATGAAAACCGCAATTGACGAATAAAATAAAGCAATACCGAGATCGGAAATGAAGTTTACCATATAAAACTTTATGTCAACATGTGTGGGCTTCACAACTACCATAAAACCTTCATCGGTTAATGCTTCTTGTACCTTTAAGAGGGCATTCATTTTCTCAGCTCGGGTTGCAACCCTTTTACCCGTTGCATGCCAAACCAAAGACATCATCATCCATTGTCGCATGTTCATACTCTGAATCATGTGTAAGGCCGGAAAAGGGAGTACAATTATCAATCACCCAATTCGAGCAACGAAAGTGAAAGTAAGATCATCCAAATATATAGAAAACGAAATGCATTGGGAGTGGCCATATTATTAGGTGCCACGTTCAACAAACTAGTATCAAAAGCTAATAGATTTAACCATGGGATGCATAGGGAGTGACCATAATATGTTCAGAATAAGTCTTTAAGGTGCTCCTACCAGTTTCAAGTCTTTCGACCTTCACTTTACAAGGAAAAGTAGAAAGTTCTTTGCCTCCAAGGCCCCGAGTACCAGAATCCAAATTTCGGATCTTCTTTCTCTTATTACCAGCCACGGACTCAATAGCTTTCGTTGATTGCCTCGTGTTGATGTCATTGTTAGTCGATTTCTCCAGACTGCTTTCAAGGCCACACTGTGAAGAGTTGTTCACAATTTCTTGAGGATTTTCACTGAACTTCCTTTTCGTTTGGTGTCCACATTCAGATTCCGAATGCATACACTTCCTAACAAAATAAGAAGATGCTTTCTCACACAAGCTCTCCCCATCAAACATCAGAACATCAAAACGGGACACTCCATTGTATCTGAAGATCAGAAAGTCATTCTCGATCAATGATTGGTGTTCTACAAAAGTTTTCCATCCATCATTGAAGAACAAGGTACCATCATCTTCTGTCAGTCCTACATCCCATATGACACCACCACTTTGACCTTTAAGAGTCACAGTTTCTGGAAGCTTTCCCTTGACAATCATAGCAAACTTTTCTGGTATTTCCTGCACCATCATATGTCATTAAAATGCAAGGTAAAATGATGCCTAAAACCCAACGTATCTTTTACACCAAAATCTAAAATGTCATGCAAACTTGAGCACTTGTAAAATATGAGTATGCCTCCTTGGAAGATAATATCCTTGTACACCCGAATTCGGATATGTCGGATTATCATATACGAGTGCTTGCAACTAGGGATATGGTAACAAAATCAAATTATTCCCTTCAAATTTGCAGCTTGACTTCTAGAGAACAAGAACAACCCCACAATGAATCCATGCATACAAAAAAGGTCGTCCAAATATAAAATATTGTTCAGAATCCTTCTTGAGCCCGGATCCTTTATGGAGGAGGACACTGTCTTTTACAACTGAGTCCACTCAATGGGTTCTCGGAGTTTCACTTTTAAATAAGCAATTATATACAGCAATGAAAAGACAAAGCAGGGGAGAGCTAGAGAAGAGGCAAGGGGCAAAGACAGGATTTACCAAGCGGTGAAGAAAATCAGCATGGAGAAATTGGGAGAAATGAATGGACTGAAAATGGGTCCAAAAGATTTCCTCTTCCCAGTTCCTACAATCCTTACATGTATCTTCCATTTGTTTTAAACAAACAGATCTGCAAACTCAAAACTCGGATGATTAACAAAAGAAAAGAGGGTCCATTCTGAAGATGCAAGCATGCTGCTTACTATTTTCAAAAAATAAATACTGCTTACGTGAATGGGTTCAGCAACAGCTCAAAGGGGAAAAAACACAGAAATGGTAAGCCGTTAACTATGGAGGAAGTATAGTTCATCTACAGACTGATCGTCGTTATTTATGATTATAAGATAAATGCCTTTTTAGAGTTCATTTTGCTACAAAATTCTTTGTAACGATGAAGAACCTAAAGGCATGGTTGACAAAGCTAAAGCAAACAAAAATGGTGAGTGAATATGATTGAATTGTTAGTACCAGAGAGATTGAGTAGCTGAGCCCGAGTGGAGGCGAAAGGCTCTTCAGAAATACTAAGCCCATTGTTTTGAAAACCGGACCGGACTGTCCGGTTCAACCGGAAATCGTTGTCTAGTCCGGTTCAATCTAGACCGGTTGAATAGTTAATAGTGAGCCGGTCAGAACCGCTGAACCGTTCAAACCAGACCGGCTGAAAATCGAAAAAACTGGAAAAAACCGTCAATTTTGTTTTTTTTTTTTAAAAAATTAAACCAAACGACGTCATTTGTTAAACGAGCCAAGTCAAACTCGAGTATTACTGAGCTCGACTCGAACTTGAAAAATTTAAAAATAAGCTCAACTCGATTCAAACTCACGAGCTAAAAATTATGAAGTTTAACTCGAACTCGAAATATAATATTTAAACTTGAACTCGAAAAGGCTTGAACTTTAAAAAAAAATTAGAAGCTCGACTGAAGCCTAAAATTCGAGCTTGATTGAAGTGAAAGAATAGTTAACTCAATGCTTACCAAAAGGCTCCATGATTTTGAATGCCAAATTACCTTTATTATTTATAGAAGTTAGTTGAGATGATATTCTATGTTTCTTAACTATGTGGGATTGTTTTTAAAAAAAATTAAACCAAACAATATTATTTTGTTATGATTTTTTTAGCCCCAAATTTATTTTATAATTATAGTTATATAATTATATTTATTATTTAATATATTTTACCTTAAATATTATATTGTAGTTAATTTAATTCATTTTGTTTCACTTGATTTTATGGTTTTTAACTTATATATGTTATGACTTGCTTTTAATATGAATTGTGATATAAAAAATTATTTTTTATTAAATATTTTTGATATTTTATTTAATTTTTTAAATAATTATGACGTTGTCCGGTTCTTCCGACCGATCAAATCGGTTTAATCGGTTGAACCAATAAACCGGTAGCATGACCTGTTCGCTAACCGGTCCAGTTATGAGAACCATGACTAAGCCTAAGGACGAGCTTTTTTGGGTTTTGGTTATTAAATATACTTCACAAAACAAAACATGTGGAATACACTTGGCATTTAACAGTCAACACTTCTTACGTTTTGGTTATTTATTTACAAAAATAAATAATTCAACAATTTATATGCAATAAATTAAGAAAATTCAAATATTTAATATGTGTTTACCAACCATTGAATCAATTTATCTATTTCTGTAAAGCATAATAGTTAAAATCATGATAAATTAAAGTAGAGATACAAAGTTGTCAATTTTGCAATGCCAAATTAGGAAATGAAAATGAGTCAAGTATAGGCAAAAGTGATATGAAATTTCCACATCACAAAATTTGCTCTAAAAAACAACATATATCAAGGGAGGGGAGCAAAGTTAGAAGATGAAAAAGGAAAACTTGTGGTGACCAACAATACCCAAATGAGAATATTTTGCAATGCCTCTCAATTGCCCCTTTAATCCCTTATGGTTTGTTTCACTTTCTTACAATAGAAAAACACATCCTCCTCCTCCAATTCTCCAAAACAATTCTTCTTTATGAGCAGCCTTGGCTCACTCCAATGCACCCAAAATGACACCCATGAAGACACTACCATTTCTTCGGGAGACATCGGGCTGCTTCCTATCGCTTCTCCTCGTTGCTTCTCTTATTCATTCGTCTTCGTCTCGTGCCTTATCCGATTCCGAGTTCGCATTCATTGCCCGTCGTCAGCTCTTGGATCTACACGAGAACGATGACTTGACCGACGATTATGAGTCTCATGTGAAGCTTAATTTCACGTTCCAGAATTCCGAGCTCAAAAGTGCTTACATTGCATTGCAAGCATGGAAAAGAGCTATATATTCGGACCCTTTTAAGACCACTCGGAGTTGGGAAGGTCCCAAGGTTTGTGATTACGACGGAGTTTTCTGTGCATCGTCCCTCAACGATCCCAAGTTGATGGTTGTAGCCGGCATCGATCTTAACCATGCCGACATTGCCGGATATCTGCCGGTTGAGTTAGGCCTATTGACTGATTTGGCTTTGTTTCATATAAACAGTAATCGATTTTGTGGGATCATTCCCAAGAGTTTCTCCAAGCTCACTCTTCTACATGAATTGGATGTTAGCAACAATCGTTTCGTTGGTCCTTTCCCTAGAGTAGTTATATCAATACAATCTCTTAAGTTCCTTGACATAAGGTACAATAATTTCGAAGGCGAATTGCCATCGGAGTTGTTTGAGATGGAGTTGGATGCATTGTTCTTGAACAACAATCGGTTCGTGTCAAACATTCCGGAGACGTTAGGCTCATCTACTGCCTCTGTCATCGTCTTTGCCAATAATAGGCTTTCCGGTTGTATTCCGAACAGCATTGGGAAGATGTACAATACGTTGAACGAGATTGTGTTCCAAAACAACAATCTCACGGGCTGCTTGCCGATGGATATTGGGATGCTTGGGAATGTAACGGTTTTAGACATCGCTTCCAACACTTTCAACGGTGTTCTGGCGAAGACAATTAAAGGGCTTGGCAAGATTGAAGAGCTTGATGTTTCGAATAACATGTTGGCCGGTTTCGTGTCGGACAACGTCTGCCGATTGCCGAGCCTGAAGAACTTTTCGTTTTCTTACAACTATTTCAGTGGCGAGGCTGAATCTTGCCTGCCATTGAATAGGAAGGACATTGTGTTCGACGATATTGGTAATTGCATACCTGATAGGCCTAAACAGAAGTCAGCTAAAGAATGTCAACCAGTGGTAAGCCGACCAGTAGAATGCAGTAAGTCGAAATGCGGTGGCGGCGGCGGTCATTCACCGCCTAAGCCAACAGATGATGACCCTTATGATCAATCACCTGTTAAAAGGCAGCGGCCTCCACCTCCACCAAAACATTTCCCACCACCAGTTGTTAAGCCTCCCGTCCACTCCCCTCCTCCGCCAGTCAATTCTCCACCACCACCAGTCCCCTCTCCACCACCTCCGGTTCACTCACCACCACCACTAGTCCAGTCTCCGCCCCCACCTGTCCACTATCCGCCTCCTCCGGTGCATTCTCCTCCGCCACCTCGGTCTCCTCCTCCTACCCCAAAAAGAGAAGTCATTCTACCACCTAATATCGGTTTCCAATACTCATCACCACCTCCACCAAAGTTCCCAGGATACTAATGAGAACATATTCAGTTGTAATTGATTCTAGTAGTTTTACAATGTTACAACATAAACATAGTGTTGTATAGTTTATAGCTAATTATCATTCCAAAAAGAGAATGTTTATAATTCTCAACATGCAATACTCACTGGCAATATGTTTATCCGAAAATATGATAATTTAGAAGTAAAGTTGTGCATATGGGCTATTGTATTATCTCTTCGAGTTTTCTTTTTTATATGAAAGAATTCTTTTGTTATATCAGAAATTAGAGTTATAGTCAGATAATTTTTTAAAATAATTTGAAATTACATAAAAATATCAATTAAGTTGAAAAAACTCACCACACGGAATACTAGTTTTTTTTATAACAAATATGGGAGAATACAAACAATCCAAAATATACACAATACTGTTATAGGATTTTTTATCTAAATACTTTGGACAATATTATTTTAATATAAAATATAAAAATTATTTTTAATATATATATAATGAATATTAATTCAAAATTTCATATCCAATGAAAGGAAGTTATAAAAACAAAAAATTTCAAACTATGATTGGATTCAATAGTACTACGGAACATATCTGTTCGTATGTTATAGCTAATAAATATAAAAGTTAAACATATTTAATCAATTAATTATTATTTCGTGGGACACTAATCGAACAACCTTAATAGTTAAAGAAATATTATTATCTCTTGAGATATCATATTCGAGTATCATGTATGCGAGGATATTTTACCTTGTATAGTTTATTTTGAATATTTTATTAAATAAATTAATTGTTAGTGATTTGGGACTAACGAAAGAATCGTATACCCTATCCACAATAGATTTAGAGATTTGATACGAAGATTTCAAAATATTATATAACGTAGTTTATGAGTTATTGCATGGAATATTTATTGTCTAAGATAAATTAAGTACTATTAGGCCCCAATCAAGGGGTGGAAGAAGAATCGGAGAAGAGGAAACTCTTATAGTTCGTTCTCATCAGTATTGTTTGGACCATAATAGTCTACGCAGCCTCTGTCATTGCATACATTGATGTAATATGTTCCGGTCTCGTCGAGTCCAGTATAAGAGTTTCATATACTAGTAGCAACGAACCAAAATCAAACTGCATGCAGGTCAATATTGAGTGGAACTACATCTTAATAACAATAATGGAATTGTTGATTGGACTTTTCTACAATCAATATTTGTAACGACTCAAAATTTATAAAATGATTGAATTCATTAATCAAAGTTTAGGCTTACTCGAGTAAGGATTAGATTCGATGAATCATAAAATGGAGCAAAATAGAATAGGACTAGAAATATAACTAGCTTGTCGAAAGAAATCAAAGCTAAAATTTACAAAAAAAAAATGCTGCTTGCTAGACGTGGGATATAGAAACATAAGGGCATGGGAGTGAGCTAATTATTTATTTCTAATTTCTCATGTTTTTTTATTTCTCTCTTCATAGAATATAAGAAACTTCAATTTTAAAAGAGAAATTTTCGACATACAAATAAATTAATTGAGATTAAAAAAAAATTTATTTTGTTCACTATGAGCTTCAAGAAAAGCTAAGCATCTTTTCAAAAAACTAATATAAAGACATTTGAAAGTTTTGGAGAATGTGAACTTTGGGAAGCTTTTGTCGATCATTTTCATAGAATTTATTGTTTTATTAGTGTATTTAGTGGTGAGCATTCGATCGAGTCGAGTTGAGTTAAAAAATTTTGATTTGATGAGTCCTATTTGTTGGTAATATTGACTACAAAATTACACCGTTAGCACTGAATGGAAAATAAATAAAATAAATAACTTGAATCAACTGAAATCGTGCCGTGGTGAAAACCACTGCCTTATAAATGAATTCGCTCCGATGTGTGTAATCGTTCTAATAG